ACAAGGGCAGGCTGCAGCGCGTCTTCCGCTCTGCAGGAGAGGGTGATCGGCTGCAATCCGCCGTCCCTGCAGGACTTGTTCTCTTCCAGGTCTCTGAAGCGAGCTAAAAAGATGGCGGGCCGACCCCTCTCACCCTGTTTGTGCCCCCTTCCATCGGGCAGGAGGCTGAGGTCCATCAGGACTAAGACCTCCCGCCACACCAACAGTTTCTTCCCGTCGGCAGTCGGGCTCATCAACAGAGCCGGTCCCCCACTGACTGACTATAACACACCGGTCACTCCCCTTCACACTGCACATGTCACTCTAACTGTCATTGTTCACTTTGTCGTCACTCATCACTGTCACTTGTTCGCTAGTGCACTTTATGCTTAATATTTTTTACTTTTTTAATATTTTAATTTTTAACTAACTTTATTCTCTTGTTTTATACTGACCCATAGCCGTATACCACTAACCCATTGCATTTCATTTTATTTTATTACTTGTGCACTGCTGTCTTGTTGTCTATTGTCACACTGTCTACTCTCACGCAACAACCGCCAAGACAAATTCCTTGTATGTTTGACATATTTTGGCAATAAATGTTTCCTGATTCCTGATTCCTGACACACACACACACATATCAAGGAACTTGAAACATCAGAGGGGTTTCATGGGATATCGACCACCGTGTGTGTGTGTGTGTGTGCGTGTGTGTGTGTGTGTGTGTGTGTGTGCTCGTGTGCATGCACCCACTGTTGATGACCACGATGGTCGCCATGGTGACGTAGAAGAAGATGCGCGGCTCCATGTCGACATCCACCAGGACGGCCGTGGCAGCAAATAACCCGATGATCAAGACCATGGTGAAGACCACGAGCGGGCTGTGTTTAAGATCACAACTCCCACACGGAGCCGCTGGAAGGCCACGCCCACAACACCTGCGCAGAGCCGCTGGAAGGCCACGCCCACAACCGCTGCGCAGAGTCGGGGAGAGGAAACGCGTCACGTGACGGTCGGACGCTTCAGAACCGACGCCGCCGTGTCAGGAACTCACCTGGTGCAGAGGCAGTTGAGCAGGCTGGAGACCACCAGGGGCAGATTGGCAGCCAGGGGCATCCAGAGCTCATAGCTGTAGCCTCCGCCCCCCGACGTGGTGCTTGGTTCTGCTGCCAGGCGCCGTTGGAAATACTTCCAGAGATGGAGAAACAAACGACATCTTTGTTAAGAAAATGAATGTCTGGGACCAATGTTCGTGGTATTGAGCGTAGGTTTCTACATCCTAAATGTCCGGCCGTGTGTTCCATCGTTCTATCTGGGAACATCGAGAGCAACGAAGAGCCGCAGTGCGACACGAGAAGCTCCGATGTTACGAGTGAAGCGACGTGAAGAGTTTGTGCTTTACACATTTCTTAATATTCATTTTAAAGTAAAAAAAAAAGGGAAACCTGAGACGCGATGATGAAGAAGTTCCATGGCAGCAGAGATCCCACACCGAGCACAAAGATGATGATGCAGGGCACCAAGCGTCTGCTGTGGAGAACACAGACACCTTCATGTCAACTTTAGATTAACACCGCAGTTTATGCCACATCAACAATATGTACCAAACTCACCGGGGGGCAGGTTCGCCCTGTTGGTGGTCGTTTGACATTTTGATTCTTCTGTCAGGTTTCTAAAGAAAAGTGAAGCCTCTAAAAATATGAAAAAACATAAAAAAAGATGCAGCAAGTGTCCAAATACTGGATCAATACCACACGGTCAATATGCACAATTTTCCATTTAAGTTAATGCACCGATTTTGATCTGGAAAGGCATCATGTTGTAAACTGACGTTTGGCACCCTACAAATAAAACATGTTATTTTACATTAATTTGGGCGATAATAAATTATTTTTTTCTAAATAGCAGGACTTGATGGCCTCAAGTCTTCGTTTCCATTACTAAATGAGCGTCTTAATATCTTTTAATGACACGCATTCATTCATATAAATTGTGTTACCCCTCTTTGTGTTAAATTCCTGCCCTGCAGCACTTTGTGATCTCGGTCTGTGGAAAGCACTTTATAAATGAATTTGACCTTTTACTTACTTCTGTTCTCCACACAGAAACAACACGAGAAAAACTACATGTGGATGAAAAACCTGAATGACCCGTTTTGTGGCGTTCAGAGTCTCTGGGTCATGACGTAGGCGTGCACTCTGCAGGTGGAGCGTGTTACCGTGAAGGGGCTCCTTCCTTCTGGGTGGTGCAGCACACGTGCTGACAGCCTCATGTACCCGGGTTACACCGTCTGACGTGTTGGTACCGACCGTCTTCCTGCTTCTCATGAGATCACAAACAGGAATCTTCTCTTTGCTCGGATGCTTCAAAGTATTTATTGTGTGTTTTTCTTTGTCATCGGTCGTCTTTCTGTTCGTTCTCGACTTTTAAAAAGTGATCAAATGTTTTGTTTAGTCATTTTAAAGAGGACGACCCTCTTTAGGAAAATAAAAAGAAACGTGAAGGAACTCTGAAGTTGTCTTGTGAGGTGATTTTGTATCTAAAGGAGGTCACGCCTCCTCCACGTGGTCCAGTCGCTGTGCACGTGTCATCAAGGAGACAAACACGTATGACGTCATAAACTCATGAAGCTGCTTCATGAATAACAGCCTGTGCAGCTCCAACAACTACAGCTCAGCTGCTAAACTCTTGTTACATCATTTAAGTTCATGGTTTTGCTCTCCGGCACCAAATAAATACTTTGTTACTACAGCAGGAAAACTGTGGATCAACGTTTGTGTATAATTACAGTTGTATTTGGTTATTATTCTGCTGCTGGTTCTCAGTCGAGTGGATTCTCCTCAGTATCTGAAGCCACTGAACAGTTTCATCAACCTCGTGTATTAACTCACGTTAGAATTGATCTTTCTGTGGAACTCGTGTCGTTCACGCTGACGAATTGTCACGTGATCAATAAACAAAGAACTCGGACATGTTTCCTGCATTAAACAAGACGTTTTTAATGAACATGAATATAAATATAACTTGTGTAAACCGTCATTTCTGTTCAGTGTTCAGTTCAAGTTATTTATGAGGCAAAAGTAACTTGTTCAAGAGATGTATGTTTCCTTTTTTTCAACAATCACTCATCTTTATTTTTAAGTCTTATTACAAATATTCACAAAACAAATCAAAATGAGCCAAAGTGACTTTAAATAATTCAAACCACTTTTCTCACCAAAAGAACATTTGCATCTATATTATTAATTCACTTTTATGCACAATAACAACAACACAAAGTGTATTCTGTGAACATGATGGAAAGGTCAGAGGCGTTTATGAGAATATTAAATATTCAACAATATGTTTTCAGAGGCTTCACATCAGATATAATTTGTTTTGCTTATTTACTCAAAGTCAAACTTCAGCTTTGGATATTTAGAGAAAATAAAACAGTCTGGATTCAAAAGGTTGAAATAGATATTCTCCATAAGGCGTCATGATACAGAAATAAAGAGAAAAACATACAGTATTTATATAAAATATGTACATTTATTCCCTTTAATGAATAAAATCATCACATGAAATCAGAGAATGATTAATTTACTCCGACAGGAGAGATGATCAGAGGAGCAGAGTTAGTAACATCGTAATAAAAACCAGGACTGAAGAACGGGAAGAGCTTCTCAGTGAAGGAGCAGCCAGTGAAGGAGTAGATGAGAGCTGCAGCTTCTACGTCATAAAAGGAGACCACACCCTCCTCATAGTCCACAAACACCCCCACCTTCTGAAGACCAGACTTCACAGAGAGATCAACTGCAGGATCACGAAAAGCTTTGTATTCATTTCCATTTATCAAACATATGATCCAGTAACCATCCTGAGGACTCCCTGTCTCCCTGAATCCCTTCCTGTTGACTGACTCTCTGATCACTCCTAAAAACCAGTCAGTCTTTCCTTCAACCTGAACCTCAAAGTAGAATCTGCCTGAAGAGAAACTCTGCTTTGTTAAAACACAGGGCCAAATAGAAAATCTCTCTGGGTTGTTTGGGAGATTCTTCTCCACATCACCAATTCTCACTTGTTTCCCATCGTCAGACAGGATGAGATGACGATGAGCTGTTTCAGGATCAAGAATCAGATCCACTGCAAACATCTGGACCCTCTTCAGCTCAGCAAACCACTTCTTCATCTTCTTACTGAGTGTCTCCTCCAGCTGAGACACAGCTCTCACCACAGTCCCCTCATATGAAGGACAAACACTGACCTCTGTCCAGTCCTTGGTGGGTGGTGGCTGATGGATGTTTGAGGACTGGAGAAGATGGAGGTGGTCTTCAGAGAGAGAGAGCTGCTCCACCTCAGCGCTCCTCTTCATCAGCTCAGAGATTTCCTCTTCCAGCTCTCTGATGAAAGCTTCAGCCTGTTTCTTTGTGGCTTCCTGCTTCTCTTCTATTGTTTTGAGGAGCTCCTTCAAGCCTCTTCTAACAGACTCCATCAGATCATTGAAGACCTGAACACCTTCTGCTTTCTCTCTGCCTGCATCTTCCTCACTGAGGTCGACCGAGTGTTTGATCTCCTGAATCTTCACTCTTCTCTTCCGGATCATCTGCTGGATTTCAGCCTCTGTCTTCTTCAGCTCGACCTTCTTTTCTTCATATTCTTCTTTCAGAGGAACATACTCATGGTTCTTGTGGTCTAAAACAGTGCAGAGCATGCAGACACACGTCTGGTCGCTCTTACAGAACAGCTCCAGAGGTTTATCGTGCTTCGTACACATCCTGCCTTCCAGGTTCTCCACAGGGTCCATCAGCTGATGTCTCTTCAGGCGTGAAGCTGTCAGATGAGGCTCCAGGTGAGTCTCACAGTAGGAGAACAGACACACCAGGCAGGACTTGAGGGCCTTCACTTTGGTTCCAGTGCAGACGTCACAGGGAACTTCTCCTGGTTTGGACTCTTGTTGCTCTGAGCTGCTGCTGCTGGCTTTCTGCTGAGCAGACTGTCTGAACTGAACAACCATCTCAGAGATGAAGGTGTTGACCCTCAAATCAGGTCTGGTGATGAAGTCCTTCTTACACGTTGGACACAGGTTCTGGTCGCTGGTGTTCCAGTGTTCATTGATGCAGTTTATGCAGAAGTTGTGTCCACATGGTGTGGTGACTGGATCAGTGAACACATCCAGACAGATGGAGCACAGGAACTGATCTTCAGATGGACCATAGTTTGCAGAAGCCATGTCTACACATGTTGTGGAAGAGAAGAAAAACGTTTTATTTAAAATAGTTTTTATGAATAGTTTTATTTTGAAACCAGTCCAGAACGTGTCCACATGCTGTGAATAAAGAGCAGCACGCTAACAACGCTCTGCTTACTTGGTGACAAACACGTAGCGTCTCATTTAGATGACTCACACTAAAAGCCTCCAGCAGGTTCACTGTGGAACACGTTTAACGTGACGCACCAAGAGGAAACAGAGGAAGGGATCAGGAAACAGAGAGACACTAAAGTTTAAAGCACAGAGATTCAGCTCCAAGTGACTGAAGTCCTGGACAGTTTGAAGCTGTTAGACTGAGTTACTGTATCGTGGGACTGTGGATAAACACACGTGGTTTTATTGTTAACATTCTATCAAGTAGGAAGTGAACAGAGAGGAACTTCCTGCCTGAGTAAAGTACAAGTTGTGTGTTCTTCCTGCTTGTTGAAGGTGTAAATGTGACCAGCTGTACTCACCAGTGTTCTGAAGAGACTCTGCTGTGTTGCTGAGGAACACCTGATGACGTCACTTTGACTTTTCTCTCAGAGAAACACGGAGACTTGTCTTCACTGCAGCGCGTCTGCCTCTCTGACCAACGAACTTTCATCTCTGGAGAGTGATGTAGAGGCTCCGCCCCTCCGTGTAGCCCCGCCTCCTACTGGAGCGTCATCAGCAGGTGAGGTTTGTTTCCTCCTCTGACTCATGCTGACTGCTGGAGGATTCAGTCATCAACAGTATGCAGAGAGAGACAAAGTCCGCTGTTCGAACAACTCACACCGAAGGTACTAAAATTGGAGATTAAGGACTTTGTTCTGTATAACTAATAATAATCATATTTCTAGTCAGCACACGGTTGAGGCTTTTATTCTGAAGTTAGCACATCTTCCATTCCTGTTTCATCCTGACAGTTTTAAGGCAACGGCCATTAAGATGAAGCATGTTAAGATAGTAAGAAAGAGTGAGGATGTATCTAGTTCTACTTCAGTGATCAGCTGGTGGCTTTTCTCTGGCTCCTTATTGGACGATGGAGTTTTGATGGAGTGTTGCTCCCAGCATGCAGATGAAGATCAGCTGGCTCTCAGATCAGATCTCACTACTGTTCACCGTGTGACGACGTCCTGTGAGGTCTGACCTCAGTTTGTTTGTCCTGCAGCTCCCCGACCTGAAGGATGCTGCTAGCAAGCTAACAGTGTCCCAGTGAAGGTATCCGGGGCTTTTATTGTGAAGGATGGAAACAAAAGTGTAGAGATGTTCTGGAGTGTCAATCAGATAGTAAAGTCTTGCTACTGTTACGACCCCGCCCTTCATCTGCTCGCCTGCAGGTGGCGGTGTCTTCTAGGGAGAACGTGGGAGATTTCACACCCTTGTTCGCTGATTGCCTCTTAAATGTGGAGAGGATAAAACCCTGGATCTCCCCTTTCCACGGCCCCTTCCTCCAGGGGAGCGACTGCCTCAGGAGAAGTCACTTTGGCCTACCTTTGTTTAGTTACCCAACTCAT